GTCGGAGGGTAGGAGCAGTTTAGACTCATGCACCAGTTGGAGTGAAGGAGCAGTTTAGCCTCGTGCACCTGTCGGAGGGTAGGAGCAGTTTAGACTCATGCACCAGTTGGAGTAAAGGGAACAGTTTATACTCATATGCCCGTTGGAGTCAAGGGGGGAAGCTTATCTTAGGGCAAAGATGAAGACGAACCCTGATTTGTCTTCTCTTGGGGCAAAGACGAACCCTGAAATAGCAGCACATCGCATAGTAGGCCACTATCAAACAACAACGCCTTTTATGGGAAAGACGGTGCTGGGAGAATCAAATCGTTCAGGGACGTATGAGTGTGACGATTGATTGGACAACATCATTTGCGGGAATGATGGTGTCGGCTATCAGAGTGTAGTGTTAACATGACAGTGGGAGTTTATTGCGATTTGAGCAACTCTGTGGACTTACCATCCTATTGAAGAGGACTGGTAAGTTGATTTGTCAGAGGTGACCGTTAACATGACAGTGGGGGTCCCGCCATCCTATTGAAGAGGATTGGCGAGGGATTGTGGCTTTGGTCCTAACTATCTGAAGGTTTGACCAAGTGGGAGTTTGATGCAGCCCACCTGAACTGCTAGTCTCGCCTGTTTTGAGCGGTTCGCCATAACCGGGAACCTGGCTCAAGAAGTGGAGCTTGCCTAAACTGTTAGGCTCGCCTGATTTGAGCGGTTCGCCGAAACTGGGAACCTGGCTCAAAGAGATGGGTGTACTTGTCGGAGTGTTAAGGGAGCAGTTTAAACTCATGCACCAGTTGGAGGATCAGAAGAAGCAGTTTATACTCGTGTACTTGTCGGAGTGTTAAGGGAGCAGTTTAAACTCATGCACCAGTTGGAGTATAAGAGAACCATCAGAGGTGATTGTTAACGTGATAGCTTTATGGGCCCGTCGTCCTATTGAAGAGGATCAACGGGGGAAATTTGGAGGATATGAGGGATCGGTCTCCACTACCAAGGCATCTTGGTCATCATCCCCTCGAAATTCATGCGGGTCTTCGTCACCCATATGCTTGAGCATGCTCTCGACTTATTCTCCTTGGCGAAGTAAGTCTTTCCATGAGCGAGCTTCAACAACGCCCATATTGGACAGAACGCTGATGGAGAGATTGTTCCGGCACATCTCGATGAGCGTGGCCTCGGAAACTCGATCGCGGGAATGCAACGATCGGTTTCTGAATCTCTTGACAAACCTGCTTACAGACTCTGTCTTCCTCTGCTTCACAGTTAGCAGGGTGGCCATAGATACTTCTGTGTCATCATCGAAGAATCTGGCCACGAAGAGCCTTTCCATGTCCTTCCAGCAGGTGATGGACCCAGGCTCCAATCTGCGAAACCATTCAAAAGCGACCTCCTTGAGGGTACCAATGAACAGTCGAGTCATAATGGGATCGTTTCCCACTATGTGTCCAGTTTGCGCCTGGAAGTAGTAGATGTGCTGGGTAGGAGAACCCTTTCCATTGAACTGCAGGAGGTCCAGCGGCTCGAACTTTGCCGGGTAGGAGACCGCATCCCATTCAATTGGATACGGTCTGACAACCCCCAGCTTGTTCGCATGCTTCTGGAGCTTCAAGGCGTCGAGTTGACTTTGGAGATCGTCAAACCTCTTGTCTCTTGGGTTATGGCCCGAAGATGACGCTCCTCTAGATGACTCGGATGAGGAGTGAGAAGGAGTAGGCACCCGCTCTTTGTGCTTCAAGGATTTATGCGAAGCCCGCGAAGTCCTCTCTCTCTTCCTCTTCTTCTCGCTCAGGAGCTGCTCCAACATCTCCTTCAGGGAGTCGATGGTTGCTTGTTGCTCGTCGAGCCTCCTAGACATCTCCTCAGGGATGTCAGTCATGTGCACATTTGTGTGCTTGCCCTGAACTGAGCTTGAAGTCTCCGACATTGCCACTGCTGAGCAATCGTCGTCGTCGTCAGAGACGGACGTCAGACCCGTGCAGGCAAACGAGGTGGCCACCCCCATTTGGGCGTGAGCGTGTTGGCGAGGTTCATGCTGGCGAGGTTCGCCCGTCAGGCGAGATTGGCACAGTGTGCCTGCGCCTGTCTGGCGAGCTGTTGCTTCGCCTTTCTGGCGATCTTGGGCCGTCAGGCGAGCTTGGTGAAGTTCGCTTGTTTGACGAAGCCCTCTTAAACTGCAGAGTTCGCCAGGTGCCCTTGGTTCGCCAAAATTGAGCACCTTGCTCACAGAGTGGGGCTCGCTTAAACTGCTAGGCTCGCCCGATTTGAGCGGTTCGCCAAAAATAGAAACCTGGCTCAAGTGGTTGGGCTCGCCTAAACTGCTAGGCTTGCCCGATTTGAGCGGTTTGCCAAAATCGGGAACCTGGCTCAAAGAGATGGGCTCGCCTAAACTGCTAAGCTCGCCTGATTTGAGCGGTTCGCCAAAAATGGGAACCTGGCTCAAGAGGTTGATTCGCCTCAAGCCTGAATAATAATTCAGGCTGTCGTGGGGGATGAGGGATTGTGCCTCGAGACGAGCGAGAGCTTTTCGTCGCCGCTGTTTGGATCTTTTTGAACGAGGAGCGTTCATGTCGACGACGGAGGCGTATTCTGCGTCGACACAAATGGTTGATTCCTCTTGCACAGGGGTCTGCGAGGATCGTTCATCGACCCATTCAGCAGCCCCTAGACCTGCATTCTCGAATCTCGGCTCGGCCTCAACTGGTTCGGGGGGAAAAGAACCCCCTGCCTCGGCTTGGGTAGATCCCTCAGGCTTGGTTGCCTCAGCCTCTTGGGGCTGGGCCACCCGCACGACTCTGCAACCATCGCGAGATGTATTGCTGCGAGAAGAGGACGATTGTAAGTACCCTTCGAATTTGATCACAAGGGACTCAACAGTAGTCCCTGCAGCAACTTCGTCAGACTGCGCCACCACCAATTCATCTGAATGAACGGATTCTCCCACTGTGGTCGCCATCTTCTGTAGGGTGAAAATTTGATTCTTCCGAAGAAAGGAGTTTCGTTTGTATTTATAAGAAAGCTTATTACAAACTAACAAATCAAATGTTTACAACAGAAGCAGAGGGAAAGCCCTCTTTGTTTCGATAGGACGCTTCGCTCGGTGCTCGTGCCGAGTCTGCTTCCCTTGGACGATCCGATCGAAGTTGCTGCCGGAGCTTCAGTTCTCAAATGAGGGAGCCCTTGGCGAAGGTCCAGGTTCAACCTTTGGGATATTAGCCAGCCGAATATGCAACGGCCAATCCCCCTTTTCATGCTGGCTAAAGCTGGGTTTTAGTAGGCAAGGGATGACATGGGCCATCCCTTGATTCATGGGATTTGACCATGTGAGGGAGACAGCTTGACTGCTCCTTGACTTATGGGATGTGACCACACGTCGTTCAGAGATATCCTGCTGTTCACCTACAACAGGAGCAGTCATTCGAGGAGCCATGTGAGGTAAGCTGCATTTATGAACGCGCAGGTTGATCTGGCATCTGTCCGATCACTCGTACCGTGAGCAGTCATTCGACGGGCCTGGAGTACCGTGTCTTCTCTCTTCAGGCCGAGAGAGGTGGGAAAGCGGGTTCCTGGTACTCGAGTAGGCTTGGACAGCTCGTCGGGTGCTGGCGGATCCGGCTCTTGACTCGGACAGCCGAGGTGAGCTGCATTTATGAATGTTCAGGTCGACTTGACACCCGCCCAATCATTCGTACTGTGAGCGGCCGCTTGACGGTCTTGGGATACTGTGCCCTCTCCGCCTGTCCGCTCATTCGTACTGTGGACGGCCATCTGACGGTCTTGGGATACTGTGCTCTCTCCCTTGATTTGTGGGATTTGACCACTGATGTAACCGTTCCCATACTCCAAATGGGCAGTTGACAGTGAGCTGGCGAGTCTGCAGCTTGGGTCTGCAGGCGAGCTTAGGACTGCAAGCAGACTTGGGTCTGCAGGCGGGCTTGCAGGCGAGCTGAGTCTGCAGGCGAGTTTGGGACTGCAGGCAGACTTGGGTCTGCAGGCGAGCTTGCAGGCGAACTGGGTCTGCAGGCGAGCTCAGGTGCGCAGGCAGACTTGGGGTCTGCAGGCGGATTTGAGACTGCAGGCAGAGCTGGGGATTACAGGCAGACTTGGGTCTGCAGGCGGATTTGGGACTGCAGGCAGACTTGGGTCTGCAGGCGGATTTGCAACTGCAGGCGAAGCTGGGGACTGCAAACGAACCTGGGTCTGCAGGCGATCTTCAAGCCGTTAGGCGAGCTCTATAGCATGGATCGAAGAATAGGCCGTAACTTTCAAACCGTAAGTCGGAATTGGACGAATTATATATGAAAATCGCCTATCTCGACGAGATGGAGCCATCCGAACCCAGCCGAAGGCTTCGGTTCGCTTCCTCTGTTTCGCCAAATTCCTTACGGTTTGGGAGATATCTGCATTTCCCCCTTTTTTTTTGCTATTTCGGGCGAGGTTTTAGCAGTTTTGTTCTGAACTTCTCTGATAAGGATTTAAAGGCAATTTTTATTGCCTACAGTTATTGTAAAAAAATTTATAGTATGTGGATTATTTAGGTCTAGCCCTGTTTGGGTCCTGCAATCAAACTCGCTCGTGCAAACACCCGTCATACATATGCTTCATTCTCAAGATTTTCAGAGTATGACAAAGAGTGTCAATTTATGTGTCAATTGCAGTGAATACATTCATTTGTTTTCTTATCGACATTCCTTTGTTTTCTTATCTGGCCTTGGTATATAAATTTCAGATAATGCTACACTATCACAAAGTATGACAAAGAGTGTCTTTTTTCCATTGATAATCTATTTTCAAGGCACAAATTTGCAGGTGATATAATGGCAAGAAAGAGTTTTTATGTTGTAAAGAGAGGTCGCCGTTGTGGTATTTTTTATAATTGGGAGGAATGCTTTTCTCAAGTTGATAGATTCCCAAATGCTATTTTTTATAATTGGGAGGAATGCTTTTCTCAAGTTGATAGATTCCCAAATGCATCCTACAAAGGGTACGCAACGTATGAAGAGGCTTTGAGTGAATGGGAGAAGCACTTAAGCGTGCGTGATTCATCATCCAGCTTAAGCCATGTGCAGCCACATGTTTGTGTTCAAGAACAAATGATTCCAGAGGGGCATAACTTTCTTGAGGACAAGCCATGTGCAGCCACATGTTTGTGTTCAAGAACAAATGATTCCAGAGGGGCATAACTTTCTTGAGGACAAGGGAACACCTAGGGAAACTGCTAGTTCAAGAACAAATGATTCCAGAGGGGCATAACTTTCTTGAGGACAAGGGAACACCTAGGGAAACTGCTAATAAGTACATCTTTGCTTTTGTATTAGGTTCAGTGTTTACAAGTTTAATATTTCTAGTATGTATCGTTGCAGTACTTATTGGTTTATCTATTAGGGGAAACATGTGATGTTATTCATGTATGATTCTTCAATGTACCTTAGTTTTGTACTTAGTTTTGTACTGGGTTTGGAGCGTGGTAACATTTATTGTGAGTTGGGTTAGCTTTACAAAGTTGCATTTCGTTGTAACAATGCATGTGTTCATCTCATAAGTTAGCACCTTATTTGCTGTGGATTTTGTTTGTGTAACATTACAAGTGCACATGTTTACCTTCAGCTTCATCAAAATCTTCAAATGATGATATATTGAGTTTGGGAATAACGGACTGCAGGTTCATCGAAATCTTCAAATGATGATATAATGCCTGTGTTCATCTCAATTACTACTGTTCATTTGAACTTGCTATTGTCGTTGCAGTTGCAATATTCTGAAAATTAGACAGCTCTTTATTGAATTTGTAAGTAAAGTAAATGGAAAAGAAATAGTTGGTAGGCTTGGAAGTTGCAGTATATGAATGCTAATGTCTACATTTCTGTTCCATTTGTAAGCAGAGCAGAGTAGATAATTCTGCAAATTCAGATATTATTTGCTTGAATCTGTCTACATTTCTGGTTGATTAGACGCGATACCCATTAGCGGCCATGCTTTGACTCCAGTGGGATACCAAATTAGCTCTTGCCAATATCTGAACCCAAACTCAATATACATCAAAGCTATACCGAAGTTGTACTGAAGCTATACATGAACAATTTGGTCGAATTTGTTTCTGAATATATCATCATTTGAACACAAAAATAGAGTTCACAACCAGCAGCAATATTGGTCTGCAATACAAAAATAGAGCATTGGAACACATAGCATTGGAACACAATAATAGAGTTCACAACCAGCAGCAATATTCGTCTGTAATACAAAAATAGAGTTCACAACATAGCATCGAAACAAACAACCAGCAGCAATATATCTTCAAATCAAGCAGCAACTACAATCAGCAGTCTTGAGGACAATCAGCAGCTTGTACAATCCAGCTTTGAACAATCCAGCTTTGAACAATCAGCAGCTTCTACAAGATTCTTCTTCTTCTTCTTCACAACTTGGGTTAGCTGCAAATTTCATGACATATCTAAATCAAATGAGGCCTTATTTTATGTATCACGTTAGTCATAGTCTTTTGCTAGTATTAATCTTAAATATTCTGATGTATGATATGAAAAAAAGCTAAACATATAAGAAATTCACAAATGAGCTACATATGAAAACAAATTAATTGTATATTAGCAAGTTGACTTTACAGCTAGTTCTATAATGCCCGAGTTCCCCACATCTGCTACATATACGCTTCTTCCTCTCTTTTTTTCCTTGTTCTTGTTCTAAGCCTGACTGAATTCTAGTGGCATTGCGTGGACGACCTTTAGTCCTTGCAGATTTTTCAGGATCACGAACTGTAATCTGAGGAATATGCTCCATTGTATGTGAAATGGGTGTTGAAATCTGAGGATTATCTTCTGTTTCTGTTTCTCTAACTTCTTCTTCAAGTGATTCTATGAATTTTGTTAACACATTATCTAATTTCTGCATCCTCTCTTCTGAATCAAATGCAAGCTCGAGCGCATTATTGAATTTTGCTCTTAAAGCCCAAGATTTCAACAAATTAATCTTCTCTTCACAGCTTGTGAGGTTTCTTCCAAATACAATATTGCCAACCCCAATGTTACAATGTCGAGCATGTATAGTCCAACGGTATAGGATGTAATGATCGGGTAATGAAGAAATTTGGCTAGCCATCATTAGCGACAATATATGTCTACATACAACGCCATTAGTTTCAAACAAAGCACAAGAACAAATGAATTGCATCTTACTGGATTCTTCATAAGTAACCACCTCCCATTTTTCTCTATCTGCAAACTTACAAATCTTGTATTCAATAATATCCCCATCTTTGCTCAATTCTTCACAAAACTCTGTAGCAAATCCTTTGAATTCAGTTTGGAACACATCAAACATGTTGCGTGTGTACATTTCTCCAGCTTGGACCTCAATCGGATGTCCAAGGAGCATGACAGGCTTTGTGTTAAGACTCTTAAAATCTTCATGAGCTTCACTTAAGCGACGATGAGTTAATGCTTTTTCATATTATAATACAAACTCGTGTAATTGAGTCTGTGAGTTAACATACCCATCAAAAAATGCATTAATACTTTCACTTCTTTGGCTCGATCTCATTCCAGCAAAATAAGTGTCCTTCAAATAACATGACACCCAATGATCTCGAGATTTGTAAACAGTTTGCAACCATCCATCCCCTTCTTCATTTATATCAAACTTCTCCTTCATCTCTAGCCAATATCCTTCACACTGTTCAATTGAAGAACTATTACACCATAAGCCCCAATACCTTTGAAACTGTTCACCATAACGAGAAACCATAGTAGGCAAATGATCAGTAATGTGCTTTTGCATGTGCCAAAAGCAATAACGATGTCTTGTCATTGGAAACACAGAGTGAATAGCTTTACACATGGCTCTATCCTGATCTGTTATAATAGCACCTGGTTTAACCCCATGCATGCATTTCAGCCATTCTTCAAATAACCACACAAAGGTATCTTCTTGTTCATCAGCTAATAATACACAACCAAGTAAAGTGGACTGTCTATGATGATTCACACCAGTAAATGGAGCAAATGGAAGACTGAACTTATTAGTTCTGTATGTCACATCAAACACAACAACATCACTGAATTGCAAATAAGACGCTCTTGATCTTCCGTCAGCCCAGAAAACACTCCTCATTTGTCCACTACTGTCCACTTCTATTGCAAAATAGAATTTTGGATCATTTGCTGTCAAACTCTGAAAATGTTTTATGATAGATATGCATTCATGGCCAATATTGTTGACTCTCTGGTATCTGATGTGATCAATACACTGTTGTGGTGTCACTAATTCGCCTTCTCTTCCAGTGGTTGCGTTAATGACGCGAGAAATAGTGGATGGAGGCATACCTTCTTCTTGCAGACTCTCAATAAGTCTTTTACAACTTTGAGATTTATGGAATTGTTGGTGTGATCTGTGCATCTTTGCTTTGTCTGGACTACTCAACACATGATTTGTATGTTCTTCAACAAACTTCATGACCTCCCACGATTTGTCCTCCAATACTTTAACTCTCATCATTGCCTTACATCCTACTCGGGTCTCTCGCCGAAAAGGCATCTCCATCTTATCTCTATTAGATCTATAGCCCTCCTTATCACAAACAAACTTTCTGTCCAGCACGTCTCTTGTCTTCTTCGAGTAATTTACCGTGCTCTTCCTTATTCCAAAACCCATCAACAATGCGTAATGGTTATAATAGTTATAAGCTTCTTCATAAGTATTAAATTTCATTCCGAGTAGTGGCTTAGGAGCATTTTCTGTACTGGCAGAAATTTCAATTCCACTAGCACTTGATTCTCCCATTCCGAACACTTTTTTTGCTGTAAAAGAGATGCATGGATTCATCAAGAAACAACTATAAAATACCCAAATATCAATTTCAGTTTAAACTCTCAAAAAAACTCCCAAATATCAAATCTAGTGTAAATCTACTATAGTCATCAGCATATAAAATGTCTGAAATGCCCGTGAATAAAATACATGAATTTATAACCAAGACTCAATAAGAAAAATACATGAATTTATAACTGTTATCATGATTGACTCATGTACATAACTTCTTCACGTTTGTGTCCATATATGGTAAGAAAATAATAGAAATTGGTTGATAAAATATTTTAAAAGAAGGAATCATGCAAATGAACTACATCTCTGTTTCTACTAACACCAAAATACATGAGCATCTTTGCAAGCTCGGTGAAGGGTTAACCCCTGCCTAACCCGTTTTCAGATTCCTATAGAGAAAATTAAAACAACTCTTTTTCAGAACACATCCTTGCGCTATTTGACATCAACGTACTTTAATTTGAAATTAAAAAAACTCTTTTTTCTTTCTCATTAATATACGATTCCGGAATGACTTTACACAGCATAAATATGTGAATACCCTGTCAAGCACAAATGATCTCAAAAATATAATACAGCGACAGGCTTAATTGCTGTTGACGCAAGCATCTCTTCTGCCCTAAGGCATAATACAAAAGCGGGCAGGTACCGAAAATTTAAAATCGCACCGATGAAACATCCATGTGCCACAGATAAATAATTTCAATCTTGAATGCCCGTGAAACTAGTCAAATTCGTCACCAGATAAACACAGCATAGAAAATCAATTTCACCTAAAATCAAGTTTAAGAGGGAAATGGGGGAGGCGGGATAATACCTCTGAGAGGGAAATGGAGGAGGCGGTGTTTCACGAGCGTCGGAGTGAGAGAGGGGGTCACGAGCGCCGGAGAAGACCTTCGCCGTCGGTGCTGTGAGCTGCTCGGTCGGGGATCTGAGAGGGGGTCTCGCCGTCGGTGCTGTGAGCTGCTCGGTCTGGGGTCACGAACGCCGGAGAAGGTCTCGCCGTCGGTGCTGTGAGCTGCTCGGTCGGGGATCTGAGAGGGGGGGGCGGCGATCTCGTGCTCGAGCGAGGCTTCGTGTCGGGACTACTGATAGAGGGGCGGCGATCCTGTCTCGAGCAAGTTCCGTGGTCAAGGCTTTGATCGAGTCGACGATTGGAGGAGGAGTAGGCGCTGAGAGGGGGAGGAGGAAGGACTGAGAGATTCTGAGAGAGAAGATGAGAGAGGAGATCTGAGAGAGATTGAGGAATAATTTATGATATTTGGGGAAGAGAGCGGCTGGTCACGAGATGAACATATCGCGTTGGAATTTTTTTAAAAAAGCCAGGCAGCGCACGGTTACGAGAGCTGGGCAGTGCTCCTACAGTTCTCTTTTCTCCTTCTCTCTCTCTCTACTCTCTCCTCAAAAATCTCTCGTCTCTCTCTATAATATATATATCTATATTTATATATATAATTATATATATATTATATTATATATAATATATATATATATATATATATATATATATATATATATATGGGTATGCTTACCAAGCACAAAAGGTGTCTTGTAGTGAGGGTGTCACAATCCCTCACACTCATTTAAATGTGGGACCACATTCACATGGGTAATGATGAATTGGGATTGTGACATATCACTACCAGCATAAAATTTGTGCTTGACCAAGCATACTCATATTTCTCATATATATATATATATATATATATATATATATATTATATATATATTATATATATATATATATTATAAAGGTCCGGTTACAATACATCTAGGATGTAACTGAGCTAATTACACTCACTTCTTCCCACCGTCGGATTCTTTAGATGAATATGAAGATAATTAGATATCAAGTGGGAATCAAATCTGATTTGTATCTATTGGAATTATTTATTTCTTTTGTATTGCTCACATGAGATATATTTCTATTTAGTTCTCCGTTTTCTTTTATTTTTCAAAATAAAATTCTTTCTCTTTAAAGTTCTGAGTTTATTTATTTCATATAATATGCATTTTCAGGTACTGACCTCTATGCTCTAGTTTCTTCACAAATTTCGACTTGGGATCAAAAGAGTAAAGATTGGTCATTAACTTGTACTCAATAAATTATCTTGTTGGCGGTGATAGTCAGGTTGCTGTGCAGAATAAAGTATAATTACAGTGCTATTACCTTGCAGTCAAAGTTCAAAAATGCAATCAAACTAATTAATTGCTCTTAAATATGATAACATTTGTCTTAGAGATACCAGAACACCACGTAGCAATGAAGATGAATTTTAATGATTGAAAGTAGAAGATAAATATATGCTTCAAAACAATAAAAGGTGGATCATAAGCAGATGTAAACGAAACAGATGAAAAGATTAAAATAGTAATTAATGTTGTGTCATTTCATTAAATTTGAGACCATGACACTATTATCTTACTAGTAGACGGGTCCCACATGCACAACATCTATTTTTTTCCTCTCTCAACCAAACACAAAAAAGTAAAATGAAAAACATTTACATGAATGTGTCTATGTGTATCGGATGTTTTGATTTCTTTTTATTAGGGCATCTCCAACTCTTTGCCTCAAAATAGTGCAAATTTTGCACCAAAATGCTGCAAAAGTCAGATCTAACAGTAATTCATCTCCAACCCATTGCACCATTTTTTGCATCAAAAAGGAATATTCTCAGTATCTTTCTTTTTATCTACTTTTATATGATTATTTTTTATTCCCTATATTTTTAACTATTTCAACAATTAACCTCACTTATCAAATTTTATTTTTTCACATATTTTCCAAACAAAATGATTTATTATTTAAAAAATTAAACTAATAAAACAATAAAATATTATATACCTATTATTAATATTGCCAAAATATTACATTCAAGAACACAACAGAAAATAAAATGTAAGAAAATAATTAAACATTAACAACAATGTAAAAATTACAAATTTAGTATGCTCGTAACTATCTGAATTAGTGTATTCCTCCCATAGATGATCTATCAATGCATTACGAAGCGCAATATGGCAATCTTTATCCTTGATTTTTCCGTAACATGCAATAAATTGAGTAAATCTTGTAGTTTCATCTGCTACCATATCAACTTCTGGTGTTGGTGCTTCCCTCACTTCTTGAATTGGTGCATAAAGATCACGTTCATCCTCGATTATCATATTGTGCATAATAATGCATGCAGTCATTATGTCATGTAATACATGTTTTTTCCAAAAACGTGCTGATCCTGCCACGATTGCAAATCGTGATTGGAGAACTCCGAACGCACGTTCTACATCTTTTCTACATGCTTCCTGTTTCATGGCAAAATATTTTTTCTTCCTACCTTGTGGCTGTTGGATTGTTTGTACAATAGTAGCCCATTTCGGATATATACCATCAGCTAAATAATAACCCATATTATACTCTTTTCCTTGAATAACATAGTGAGCGGGAGGAGCAATACCTTGAGCTAGGTTAGAGAAAAGATTAGATGACTCCAGCACATTGATATCATTATTGGTGCCTGGCATACCAAAATATGCGTGCCATATCCAAAGATCATAATCTGCCACAGCTTCGAGGATAATAGTTGGTGACCCACTACGTCCTGTGTATTGCCCAGACCATGCTGTTGGACAATTTTTCCATTTCCAATGCATACAATCAAGACTTCCTAACATTCCTGGAAAACCACGTTTTTTTCCAATATAGAGTAGCCTAGCAATATCGTTAGCGTTAGGTGTTCGTAGATACCGCTCTGCGAATATTTCCACCATAGCACGACAAAATTTTGTCATACTTTCAATTGCTGTTGACTCACCTATTTTAACGTATTCGTCCGTAGCATCAGCTGGTAGACCGTATGCCAACATGCGAAAAACAGCTGTTACTTTCTGTAACGGTGATAATCCCATTCTACCAAGTCCATCACTTCGTTGTTGGAAGTAATAGTCATGATCTTTCACTGCATCAACAATACGAAGGAACAAACTTCTTGACATCCGATATCGACGACGAAACATATCTTCTCCAAAACATGGATTATCGGCAAAGTAATCTATGACCAAATTCTGATGCGCATTTTCTCGATCGCGGTTGATCACTGCATGACCGGGAATCGAGCCACCATGGATCGGTTGGCAGTTGTGTTGATGTAAATTGTTAACGAAGATCATGTTGTTGTTGATGTACTCACAAATTACTTCTTCGGTTTCATCAATCTCTGCAATGATATTGGACAGAAAATTATCATCATCCGAAGATGAAGATGATGATAAGTATGATGGACCTCCAACATCGAAATTCATTTTTGAAGTAAGAAAAGAATGACTGAAGTATGCAGAAATGGAGAATAATAATTTTAACACAACAACGAGTAATTGTGTGGATGTACCTAATCTAGTATGCTATTTATAAAACTTTGCTTAGCTGTATACATTGAACAATGTGTAAAGTTGAGCTGATTTTAGGAAATGCTTTCCAGCTGTTATCAATTTGTCACAAAATTCAAATTTGCTTTTAGCTGTATATGTTGGACAATGTGTAAACCTGGCCTGATTTCAAAAAATGATTCCCACTCGTATAAAGCTTTCACACAATTTAAGGAGAGCTGAGCTGTGTATACGTTGGACAATGTGTAAAGCTGACCTGATTTCAAAATTTGATTCCCACTCGTACAAAGCTTTCACACAATTCAAGGAGAGCTGAGCTGTGTATACGTTGGACAATGTGTAAAGCTGACCTGATTTTAAAAATTGATTCCCACTCGTACAAAGCTTTCACACAATTCAAGGAGAGCTGAGCTGTGTATACATTGGACAATGTGTAAAACTGACCTGATTTCAAAAATTGATTCCCACCGACAGCATTGGATAATGTGTAAAGCTGATCAGTTTGTACAAAATGATTCAATTTCAAATGTTGACCACCGACAAAAGTTTGTACAAAATGATTCAATTTCAAATGTTGACCACCGACAAATTCAAATTCAAATTCAAATTCAAACAAAAAAAACAAATTTGGATTGGCTATAAATAACATTCACGAATTCTACTTCAAACCACCCAATTCGAAATATTTCTTCAAAGTATTTCTGATCTCCAAACCAATCGCTTTTTACAAAAAAAATGTCTGTTCGATCAACTGGATACACGGTTACTGAAGATGTGCTCCTTTGTCAAGTATTCTTGGATATTTCTCAAAACCCTATTATCGGTAGAAACCAGTCTCGAGATGCATTTTGGTCTTGTGTGGAGGACAAATACAATGAACTTCGAGATCAGCATTTTGAGATGCGTGTGAGCCGACGTTCTCGAATGGAAATCATAAGTAATGAAGTAAGGAAATTGAATGCGTGCTTGAGACAAGTAGAGAATCTGAATCCAAGTGGTGCTTCAGATGAAGATATTGTAAGTATTCTATTAATTATCGTTTGAATTTTATTATTATTGTTGAAATACATAACTTGATGTTCACTATAATTTACAGTTAGTTCGAGCAAAGATGTTATTTATGCAAGAACCAAAGTACAAAAAAGGTTTCAAATTTGATCATGTCTGGAATATGGTTAAAAATTTCAAAAAATTCAAAGATGATGTCCCCACAGCAAGACAAGTTGGTCGAAGACAATCCCAAAGTGTGAACTTCGACTCGTCACAATCAGATAATCCCACTCCGGAATCTCCTATATCAACATCTCCTGGATTGTCATCATTTACTCCATCTGAACGACCTATTGGGGTAAAAAAAGCTAAATTGAAAAGGAAAAATGATGATCATGAGTCAAGTGTAGTGGACTCCATCGAGACCTCCAACAATCGACTTATAGACAGGTTAGACAAGGCGAGCTTGGACAGGCAAGAAGCATTTGATATCGAACGAGAAAAGATAGCCATGAAAAAAGATAGAGATGAATGGAAAATTATAATGAAAGATTTGAATTCCATTGCTGATCCAAACGTGCGTGAGTACGTTCGAGCTCAACAGATTAAAATAATATAAAAAAGAAATCAACAAGAACAAGGGTCTGCTTCTAATTTTGGCAATTATTTCAATGATATTGGACACTCTGGCCCCGATCTACCAGATTATTGAGAGTTGCTTGTCCATCTCAGGAAATGTTCCATGTTTAGTTTGTATTTTATGTTTTATTTTAATGAAGTTTTATATTATGCGTGTCAGTTTTTATATGTTATGTATTTCAGATATGTAAATTATATTTGAATTATGTATTGGGATTGCTCTTTATATTTCATGGGACTTTACTTAATATCTAGATTTTAATATTATAATTAATAATAATGTCTTTTAAATTTTAGCATTATTTTTAATTTTAAAAAATAATTTATTTTGTCCAAATTATACAATTGGGGTAAAATTATAAAATTTAAATATTATTGGGATTGTTTTATACATTTAATAAAACAATTGGGGTCAAATTGTAAATACATAAAAGTATGAGGTTAAACAAAAAATAATAATAAATGAACAGTAATGCGGTGATGAACAGTGTGACGTCAAATATGGCGTCGCGCTGTTCATCACCGCTAAAATAGCGCGTCAAATGCCGTTGGGTTGGAGAGGAATCGGAGCGGCAAAATGGCGTTTTGCCTCAAAATGACGCGGGGTTGGAGATGGTCTTAGTTTCTCATCCAACCAAAACAGCCTTTTAGCTTTGAAAAATTCCTTAAGGACCCAAAATATGGGACCAATAAAGAGGACAAGTGAGGTGTTCCCCTACTATTGGATAATGAGTTGGGCATCATTCATGATCCAATAGGAGGGGGACACCTCACTTGTCCCCTCTATTGGTCCCATATTTTGGGTCCTTATAGCAAAGCTCTTTAGCTTTTATATCCAGTGTGGTCCTACACACAGTAGTTCTTGTTCAGGTGGCAGCTCTTATGCTGGCCCACCACAGTCATCACGTGACCTCTCCTTGCCATCATGCATAAGAAAACCAAATGGCAGATGGTGACGTTGGTCTCAAATTAGAATTGCTATTAGGCCCCTCATTTCTAAAGTTAGTTCGAAAACTCACAGAAATTGCTATTCGACTCAATTTCTTAAATTATTTTGAAAATAATCCCTCCAATCAATAATAGAGATAAAACCAGACACAATTTCTTAAATTGTTTTGAAAATAACCCCTCCAATCAATAAAGAGCTTAACAGCTAATTTGGTTTCATCGGACCTGTGTGCTTCACGCCTTCACCTAATAAGCTCCTCACAATTGCGCATAACTTGCTTCTTAACAGTTGGGTCTCAACGTACCCAAGGTTTGCCCGCTTTTTATCACTTTGATACAATTTGATATAATGATATTTTTTTCTAGCACTTTTACACCCTTATTTTACTTTGATATCCAAAAGTATTTCTTAAGAATTGATACTCCCAAGTTTAATACATTCACATTGATGCCCATGTCTACATCCCATTAGTTTGTTTGTTAATTTTGTACTATGTGCTTAGAGACTTGGGTAAAATGAATCCAATTGTATCACATGCTAATCACATATATATTAAGGGTGTAATATGAACTTAATGAAAATCCTAGCTAACAGAATCTTTAATGAAAATCCTAGCTAGCAGAATCTGAACAAGGTACCAAAGTGGCGATTAAAACTATAAGGGATTAAAGTGTTAAAAAATATATTAGGGTAGCAAACTAATATAGGATCAATACTTATGAGTATCCAAATGTTAGAAAAGTACTTTGAGACTTCAAAATCAAAAGTACGTAAACTTTTGGGTAGCAAAGTGTAAATAAACCACCAAATAGCCAAAAAGAAATTTTCTATTTTAGTCCCGTACATGTCTTTCATGTAGTTAGTCCTTCAAATAATTAAAATTGTTATTAGGTCCTCCAATTCTTGAGCTATTTTCAAAGTAGTCCATCAAATCATTAAAATTACTATTGGGTCCTTTGATTCTTAAGCTATTATTCTTCCAAATCAAGAATAGATTTAGCAATTATAAGGATCTATTTGAACCAACCTATGAGAATTGAGGGGCCTATAGATATGTCAACGTCCAATTTTAACAATTGACAATAAGCCACCAAAATAACCCAAAGGGCTTTCTCTGTTTTAGTCCCTAAAATCATCCTTCAAATCATTGAAATTATTATTTGGTCCCTTAGTTCTTAAGCTATTTTGAAATTAATCCCTCAAAGCATTAAAATGGCTATTAGCTCTCCTGATTCTTAAGTTATTTTGAAATTAATCCTTCAAATTAAGAGTAGAATTAATAATTAGAGAGAGCTATTTGAAACAAATTATGACAATTAAGGTTGTAATAGAAACTTCAATATGGGACAACTTTATGAAGTACTCTAACTAGAATAAATAAAAGGGTATAGAATATTTGGAATTTGAAATAAAGTCGATATGTGTCCGTATGCTATAAAGTCCTTTCATTTTCATCATTCAACTAAAATCCAACATTAGGAAGAGATGTGGGTAAATAGCTTAGTTACACCCTAGGTATATTGTAACCGAACCCTATACACACACACGCATGCACGTACGCGCGATGGAAAACAAAGAGAGATCAAAATAGCCAAAGAGATCTTATAAAAAATACCTAATAAATTTCGCATTAACAAATTCCTTCCCAAGCAAAGCTATGAAAAGGCCAGGAAAGGAATCTATTATTGTACCCAAAAACAATGACATCTATGTTACAATTGCATCAAGGAACTTCCATCTTTCTTCATAAAAAAGAAAGGAAGACAATATAATTAGAGAAAACAGCCCAACAGAGAACAATAGACGCTGCAAAAGATTTTCAAGAGAGCTGAGCTGCCTTCACTTGAATTCCTACCTGAAGAGGCCATTTCGATCTTCGTAACCGTCCCTATTTTTCTTCTCAATCCTTCTTTGCGTGTTATGCCAGTGAACCAATTTCTGATCTCTGCTCGCCGTCACTTGTTGCCTGAACCTGAGCAGCATAGTGCAGGTTCCAGAGCACATCTTCTATTGAAGGCCTAGCAGATGATTCTTGTGACAAACATTTACTCGTCATGGAGATAACGATTGATAGAGATTCTTGAGAGCAATTACTGAGGATGATTGGATCAATGATGCCCTTTTGCTCCTCTAGTTTGTTGAATGATTTATCCTATGGAACATAAAAACAACATGTTCAATGTTCAAGATTACAGAATTTCACATGATTAAACAAGGAAGAAAATAGTCCTAAATAGGTTTTCATGTTAAAAGCAAGGGTTCGTTCGATATTAGTCCCTTAAATCTTTAAGTTTAAAATTAGTCACAAATATCATTGAAATTGCCATCCGGTCCCCAAAGTTACTTGAAATTAGTCCCTCATATCATGAGCAGCAATTAGAGGGTTTAATTTGGAACAACTTACAAGAATAAGGGGATCTAATAGCAATTTCAATCATTTGAGGGACTAATTTCGAAAATAGTAAAGACTTTAAGGGACTAATATTGGAAAAGAAAAAGCAATATTTCTTCAATCCACAACATGATCTTGTGATTGGCAAGGAACATGCAATTAGCCAAGGAACCAAATGGTTAAGCTTATAGCCGTAGCGTAGGTAAATAACAGTGCTTCTTACCACAGAGATATGGGACTATAATCAGTCCATATCAGCAGATATGTACATAGAAAGATTACTCCTAGGAGGTGAAAAAAGTTTGCCTAATACTCAGATGCTGATTTAACGGAATTTTCCTAATTATCACAAATATGCTTCATTGACCTTTAGGAGAATGACCAAATTCAAACCCTTAATATGTATCTAATGTAAGCATTAGAAACAGCTTGGCGTCATCGTAAGGAGACACTCAAAGAAAGTAGCTAAAAAATATTTAAACTCAGGGATCTGTGCCTTTTTTTTCTTTCCGGGGGTGGGAGGTTAGTTCGTGCAACCTTTCTGATTCAGTTTATGGCACAATTGAAGTCTATCCTGTAGAGTCATTCTCACCAGCTCAAGCTTTGAAAAATTGAGACAACATCATGAAAGGAGAAACCTTATACACTCAGCAAAATCTTAACAGACGTGATTTTTCTTTGCTCAGGGTAATAGGCTGTCCTTGTCATACAAATTCCGTAACAACTCGGAGTGCAAACTAAAGGAACAGAGCCGTTCAATAGAAATGCAATAGATAACTCCCAAAAAACATAGAACTAATTCTCGTCTGCCTGATTTACTCTGAGGGCCGAGGTATTAGAGCCTTGGTACCTTCTCTCAGGTATTAGTCGGATTAAATGCAGGTCACATACACACAGATTGTCATTATATCGCAGATTGGAAAACTAAAAATCCATATTTTTGAAAGGATTCTTGATACGAGTGTATCTTCTTCTCCGCTTCGGGAGCTTAGCGATTCTCATGAGAGCTTGAGGATAGACGATTCTCATGATATCTTGAGAATAGAGGCGTGGATGAAGCGTTGGTGGCGGCGAAAGAAGCCAAAAGCAAGAAGACAACAAAATCAAGGAATTGTCGCTCAAGCTCTGGCCGGTCGACTGGACCAAGCTGGTCGGTCGACCGGATTCGTGCACACTACAGGGTGAGGAATGAGTCCTCTGGCCTGTCGACCGCGACACACTGGTCAGTCGACCGGACGTGGTTCTGCCTGCAGGGTTTGAAACCAACTCTCTGGCCGGTCGACCGCGACATGTGTGCCGATCGATCGGATCGGGTTTCCTGATTTGTCTGTGACTCTTTTTGACGTGTTTTCCTGGTTTTTTTGGACTTGTTTATTTATAAGATTATCATCCACGTTGTTAGGGACATAAATAGAATTGTTTTAAGGTTTCTAAGCAATCAGATTGTATTCAAAGAGAATAGAGAGATTGTTCTTTATTCTAGTGAGATTGTGAGAGAGAGATTTATAATCTTTTATTGCTCATAATCTAGAGAAGGTATTTTCCTTCGTCAACTGAATTGTTCTTGTGTTTTCTATTGTTTTTCTTCTCAACCTACCTTTGATAATTTCGCGATCAAAGGTGCTCACATAGCGACTCGTATCAAGTTGGTATCAGAACAGATCAGATCCTGTGAATGGGGAATCTAGTGTATGGTCCTTACTCGACCGCAGTACAAGAAGCTAGGCAAGATTCTTATTTTCTTGGAAAAAATCCAGAAATTAAGGAAGAAGATGATGACAGAAAGTGACAATTCAACAAAGCTTGATGCATTGGAGAGGTAGATCGAGACGATAGGGTCGACTCTCACACAACTCGTCGATCTCATCCATGGAGGAGTCAAAAATGACGAATCTTCTTCGAAACCCAAGAAGAAAACCGTAGAGTCCGATGGGGAGAACGAGACTTCAGATTCCGACGAGGAGGTCGAGCCCGTCAAGACTGTTTCACATCAAGGGGGTAAATGTACTTACCAAAATCTGATAGATTCTAGAGTGTGAGATTCCTGTTTATGATGGGAGTGTCGACGTCGAGAGGCTTGATGATTGGATCGAACGGATGGAGACTTATTTTACTCTTTATGGCTATTTGTCAAAAGAGAAGATCGTTTTTACGACATTGAAGCTTTTAGGGCACACGTTGACGTGGTGAAAAGCCTACTGCAAGCAGGAGAAGAAGACGGTGTCGTGGAACAAGTTCAAGGAGCTACTGAGAAAGCAATTATACCCGGCGATGGGATTCCTTGAGGAGCGGTGATACAAGTGGTACAATTTGCGCCAAAGATTCAATCAGACCGTTCAAGAATACACTACAGAGTTCCAACAGCGGACGGTGGTTCTCAACATCGCAACAGAGGAATATTCTATCTTCATGAAGTATATAGCTATAAAACCCCATATTTTTTGTTATGAAGATATGTGAATTATTGATGATAAATAATTCTATTGTGGTAAATGACTTGAGGTCATAGATATACTTGATAACAAGTTATTAGAGATGTATGGGTGTATTTTTTATAGACTTTTGTGCATTGGTTTTGGCAAATTAGCAAAAACATGCACGTATCTGGAAATTTGTCTGCTCAGTCGACTTATCAGTCGACTTATGAGCTGACCTATGAGTCGACTGACGGGCTGATTTTGGGTTTTTCTTTTAGTTTGCGGGTCTGTTCGGTTTTGTTTCGAGTTTGACCGCTTATATATATATCCTCCTACCCGAAAACACCCTCTCATCTTCTTCAGAACTCAGAAACCCTAGCCCCCTCTCTCCCCTCATACCCTAGCTTCGTGTTTGGTGATTTTTGGGGAATTTTCAGAGGAATTGCAGCGGGTTTTTGGCGCGGTGCAGCGAAGGGGATCGTTCTCTCTCGGATTCAGGAGTTTTGCAGCATACCAGAGGCGAGTAACATCTCGCCCAGCCCTATACCCACTGTTTGTATGATTTCATTGAGTTTTATTTCGGATTTTTGAGCCTAAAACGTATTTTGTGCATAAAGATAGATTTGTATGATTTCATTGAGTTTTATTTCGGATTTTTGAGCCTAAAACGTATTTTGTGCATAAAGATAGATCCTTTATAATATGGGTTGCAAGATTTAAATGTTTCAGTTAATAAAAAATCACCAACGTTTTGTAATTTAGATCCAGATCTGGAATTAGATTTATACATGGGTTTCTTTGTGATTTATTGATTTTAAATCCGTTTTAAACATGTAAGATCTGGAATTAGATTTATACATGGGTTTCTTTGTGATTTATTGATTTTAAATCCGTTTTAAACATGTATAAATATGTTTATTTATACATGGGTTTCTTTGTGATTTATTGATTTTAAATCCGTTTTAAACATGTATAAATATGTTTAGTGTTTTAGTGTAAGTAATTAATGCAAATCTTTCGTTTCAGTTTGTACACTTGTTAGAATCAAAAATATGCTGCTGAAAATGATGAAAAGAATTATTTTAGTTTGAAAATTTTACAAAACACACATCATATGCGAAACTGGGAAATTGTCTGCTCAGTCGATCTATCAGTCGACTTATGAATCGACCGATGAGTCGATCAATGAGTCGACTGACGGGAAATTTTTAGCTTTCTTCTTTTCTGTCTATTAGGTCGACCAATGAGTCGACCGATGATCCCGGTCGACTCATGAGTTGACTGATGAAAAAAAATTTAGTTTTCCTTGATTTAGATCTGTTTGGGTTGTTTCGTTTTAACCGAAACTGTTTGGGCATGTTTACTGTTATTGCGTACTTCTATATGAACGAGGAGTCATCTCGAATATCTGATATTAGAAATTTATGTTTATTTTGAATCTCTACATGTGAGATGACTTACGGACACGAGTCTAGGTTAGCACACCGAGGCACGTGTGGAAGTAGTGTATATGCATCTTTTCATATATTTCATTTAGTCCATGTGTTGGGCAATTATTATGTGTAGTCCATGTGTTGGACATTTATCACGTTCAGTCCATGTGTTGGACATTCATTTCTCAGTCAATGTGTTAGACAATTTACATATGCAGTCCATGTGTTGGACATCCACTACATCTAGTTTTAGTCCATGTGTTGGACACCAGTTTAGACCTTGAGTATGACACTTATACTTGCATACGTCGAACATGACACTTATGTGAGTTGTGACATGACACAGTATTTTAAGCTCTGAGATGGGTTGTCTTCTTTTTATTATTGTTCCTGTATTAGATTTCGGATTTGGTGTTTATGGATTTACAATTTGAGATACAAGGTATATACATGAGAGTTTCCTTGTTTAGATTATTTCGCTCGACGTACCTATGCTCGTGTTGTAATTTCCTAAATACTAAAATCCTCTTATTGTTAGGGATTTACAATTTGAGCTATAAGGTATATACATGAGGGTTTCCTTGTTTGGATTATTTCGCTCGACGTACCTATGCTCGTGTTGTAATTTCCTAAATAGGATCAATGATTTTATGTATATATATGTATTAACTGTATTAAATAGGATCAGTGATTTCCATGAGCTATAAGGTATAGACATGACAATGGCTTCCTCGCATTTTTGACTAAGTGTTTAAGACTTGTCTTTAGCTCATCTGTTTCAAGTCTCGGCTCACATCCATTAAGCTAATGGACTTACGAACATGCATAGGATTTTTGACAAACCCTCAGCCATCAACGGATTTGATAAGTCTTTACCGACTACCGTTTGAGTCGGGCTAGCATGTGAATT